CTCATCACTCAGGAGTCCGGCTAACAGGCTAGCTAACGTTAGCCGGAGCACCCCCGCCGCTGTACTTACAATATTATCGGCCATGCTGCTCGGGTAGGTGCGCCCGGTAGATTTGGCTTTGTTAGTGGACAGACAGGGTCAAAACAAATATTCCGTAACGCTTTTGTATATGTGTGTGTGTGTGTGTCAGCGAAACTCCATCCCGCAACTCAAACACCGGGTGTTGCACACATTAGCGCCCCCAGCGATCCCACAGCGGAGCGACCACGGTCGAAACAAAGAAACTGAGCTGGAAACAAGGGTTCCACTTTTATTATTCTTTCTTTTTCTCCCGTCAGTGACTGCCTCCCACCTGAGCCCCCCCGAGTCAGATCCTTTTTAGTATTAAATATGCTGAAAGGTGGGATACAAAATCTTCCTGAGAACATTTTCAGAGATAGAGGCTCACTACAGCATGTTTGAGCCCTCCTTGTAAGTGCACAACGTTATCTTAATTTTATTCTGCTTTCTGAATTCTTAACAATAACTAACATTTTTCATTTAAAAAAATCACTATCATAAAATATGAAGCATTGTTTTAACATGTGGGATGGATAAAACTAGTGTCTGGTCTAAGATGATGAAAAGTAGCCCAAACCCTAAACTCTTTAATACTATGGCATGAAAATGTGGAATTTCTGGCTTTTAAAGCTTTTGTACAGTGTTTAAAGGGACAGGGCAGTAATTAAGCATTTAAAGGAGATGTGATGGACTGAGTAGTCAGTAATCAGATAATTTATATTCTGCTTAGTTTTTGCTGTTTTATGTCGCAGTTACTTTTAGTTTTTTTATTTGTAGGTTCAAAGGAGGGTGATTTTATGTTACTTACTGTACTTTCTGCAGCGTTTTGTACTCCAAACAAATACATACGAACAAACAAAGTTAAAAAAAATTACACAAAACATAAAAAATTTTCACGACAGGAAAATCTGAAGAAGCACATGAAAGTCCACATATAAGAAAAACTGCACAAAGTGTCTTTAACTGTGTGGTTTGTGTTGGTAAGCGACATGCAGGAAAACAAACGATCAGTTTTCCCTGATTTGGAGAAAGAAATATGTTTTTGTAAAAGGTTTTTAGAATGTTTAAAGAAGAAATGTGAGATATTTTTCTACCTTCCTATTAAAAAAATACCAGCTTTGTTTTGTCATATCTAAATAAGCTTGTATTTTAATATTTTAATGCTATAATACTTTCCACTGCCCTGGGTCAGACCAGAGGTTGTAATGGCAGAAAATAATTATTTAAATAGCTGTGCTTAAGGTGCGATCAGAAGTATCAGTAATGTGTTGATTTGCTGACACAGATTCCAATCGTGGGATCCAGAATCCAGACAAGTTTACAGATTTTATGTAATGTGTTTTTGTTTTTTTCTGGATTTTTCTAGATGATATTCTGTTTCTCTCCATTAAAATGAAAATTGCCATAAAACTTTTGCATGGAACAATCAGTGAGCTCATTACTGCTTCTGATGTTTGTTCTGATGTAGAGCAGTGGTCCAACTATGAATAATTATAGAAGGTGTAGTTTGGAAAATGTATTTGGAGTACAAATTTTATGATTGCAACATTACAACTGCATGTATGAACCTAAAGCTGGGGTCACTTTCTTCAATTGTATATAAATAAAAAAATAACATTTTATTTATAAAGCACCTTTCTAGACAGAGTCACAAAGTACTGCACATAAGATATCAGATAATAAATGGTAAAACAGACAATATAAAACAGGCAAAAATTAATCAAAAGCAGTTTTAAAAAGGTGAGTTTTGAGTTGTTTTTTAAAACAACTACTGAGTCCACAGTTCTTAAGGTTTGGGAGAGAGAGTTCCACAACCTAGGGGCCACAGTGGCAAAATCTTTATCACCCTTAGTTCTCATCTTAGTCTTTTTTTTATAGCAAGTAAGCCCTGATCGGATGACCTCTGGGACCTGCCAGGGACATAGGGCTGTAACAGATCAGAGATGTAGACTGGTGCCAGTCCATGCAAGGCTCTAAATGACCAGGATCTTAAAATGGGAAGGAAACCAGCGTACCCGAGGTAGCAATGGTGTCACATGTGAATAGCTGCAGCGTTTTGCACAGCCTGCAGACAATCCATATATAAATAAAATGAAGCCATCCCGGCAAGAAAAGATTCATTTTCTGTGGTGTGAAGATCATGCACTGCATGTTTTTCCTTTTCATATTTTTGTTACTTTATTATTATTATTTTTTTTATGTATTCAGTGGTTTAAAGCGGAGTTAAAAAATGTCACTAATAACAGCGACATCTGGTGGATAATTGAAGGCAATACAACTTAAACATTGACGCGGCTTACTGTTTCAATCTCAGGTCATCAATAAAAGTTCTGAAAAGACTGCGTGTCCGTTTTTAATTTCTAATTAATAAATACATCATTGTCATACACTGAAATTAATTTTTTGTTGTTAACTTCAGTTAACAAGTTGTTGAGTCTTCAGTGTCGTCTCTGAATTAAATAGCTGGTAATAAAACGGTAAATTGGCTTTCAAGCAACTACCTTGTTCTAAATACTAACAAGACCGAGACCATGATCATAGCTCCTCCTGAGCTACATTCTAAAATCAGTCAGGTTCTTGCCTCTTTCTGTCCATCTGTCAAGTCAAATATTCGAAATCTTGGAGTAATATTTGACTCTTCTCTGGGCCTTGACTCTCATATAAAATCTTTGTCTCGTTCCTGTTTCTATCATTTAAGAAACATGTCTAAACTGCGACATATGGTTTCCTCAGCTGAACTGGAAAAACTCATTCATGCATTTGTGTCATCACGCTTAGATTACTGTAATTCCCTGTTTACTAGCTTGGATAAATCATCTCTCTCTCGCCTCCAGACAATACAAAACGCAGCAGCCAGACTACTAACTCGCTCTACCAAGCGTGTTCACATCACTCCCATCTTATATTCTTTACATTGGCTCCCAATAGAGTTTAGAATTCGCTTTAAAATTCTTGTTTTAACATACAGAGCACTAAATGGCCAGGCTTCAGATTACTTATCCAAGCTTCTTTTAAAATACACTGCTGCTCGTCATCTCCACTCACAGACTCAGAGTCTCTTAGTTGTTCCCCGTACACGATTGAAGACAAAAGGGGACAGAGCCTTTCAGTCTGTTGCACCAAGGCTGTGGAACAGTTTACCACAATTACGTTTGCTTGACTCTGTGGATTCTTTTAAAAAACAGTTAAAAACTCTTCTGTTCAAACAAGCCTTTTGTTGATCTACATATTTTATATATTTTTTTACATTATTTACATTTGATCTTTTACATTGTATATAATGTCTATTGATTTTATTGTTTATTTTAATATTTTAATATTTGTGTACAGCGCTTTGTGATTGCCTGTCTGTGAAAAGCACTTAATAAATAAAGTTTACTTACTTACTTACTTACTAAAAAGACACGACATATGCAGACCCACACACCAACAATACTCCGCAAACACTTTCCAGTTTAAACGTATTAAACAGATTTAGACAAGTTTCACTTAAAAACACACCTGCTGCAGCTTCGCAGCTGATGATGGGGTCCCAAACGTCTTATTTTATTCTTTTCTTAGTCTTGTCTAGTCTTATAACAGTGTTTAAAAAAGATTACGTTTGATTTATCAGCTATTTCTGGGACTGTTTAATAAACAGTGTTTATTAACAGAAGCTTCAAACCGAAGAAAGTTTTTTTTTTTTCAAAATATTAAACTTTATTAAGAAACAGTATACAGAACATGTATACAATCAGAACAAAATTAACATATGCCAGGGGGTGTAATACAAAGAATTACAAACATTCAAAAAATTTGTAATTACTACAAATAGTAATAGTTTTCATAGCCTTTTTGTTAAGTGATCCACTAATCAATTTTATGTAACATAAAACATCATTATAGTAATGTTTAAAATTAGGTTTTTTGTTACTGTATTTGCATTTGTGAAAATAAAATTTAGCTAAGATAACTAATAAGTTTATTATAAAGTAAACATCTTCTTTTTTTTGCCTTCGAAAGAAACAAAATACAACATTTTCCCATTTCACAGTAAAGTCATTATAGAGATGTCCAGCAATGAATCTACTGAAGTCTTTCCAAAATGTTCTAGCGTATGAACAGATCCAGAAGAGGTGTTGCACAGTCTCAGGATGGCTTCCACAAAATCCACAGCTCACATTTATGTCCCTTTTGAACTTCGTCATGTAATGATTAGCAGGATAAAATTTGTGCAGTATTTTAAATGAGACATCCTTCACTTTATTCGTTACCAGATACTTGTTAGGAATTGTCCATACTCTTTTCCAGTTAATGTCACTGACGAAGAAATTCCAATAAGAGACCACATGTGGGATAGTTAGAGATTCTGTCTGGAACAAAGCACGGATATTCTTATTACTTTTACTGTGGTTTGTTAGACAAATTCTTCCTATGTGTGAATCTAAAGGGTTGGGGAGAGAAACAGATGATATGCAAGGTTGAATACCTTTAAAAAGCATTATAATACCCGTAGGTATTGCATCAAATAATATAGCATATTCTTTGGGTGTGGCTGGAAATTTATAGGTGTTTAAGAATTCTGAATAGGACATAAGCTGCCCATTAGGATTAAACAGCTGATTCACTAAAACGATCCGTTTCTCAACCCACCTAGAAAAAAATAATGATTTATTTTTATACACTATGTTCCTATTATTCCAAATTGAATACGTATGGGGTGTAAAGTTGTGTTTATATATAAGGGACCAAGCTAATAGAACTTGTTTGTGAAACATCGAGAGCTTTTCTGGAAGCTTATCTATATTATAATCACAACCTAAGATAAAACTTAGACCACCAAAACCGAAGAAAGTTGCAGTGAAGGGCTGATGACGTGAAACGTCACTGGTCACGTGACAGTGGTTTTTAAAGAACCTCGCTTCAGGACAAGTTTCGGTATCAAAGGTGTCCGTGCGGATGCCTGTGCTAATTTATGAGAACGTGCGCTCTGTTTGTGTCCGGCTCTGATAATACAGTCACGTGGAGAAGAATGTAATCGGCATGTGTTTGTGCGGTGTTCGGTTCTGCCGAGGCCCAGCTTCTCTCAGACGAACCTGCAGTTTATTCTGGAGACGAGACAAATGAAGACAGCATGAAGGAGGTGGATTATTATCGGGAGCAGGGCGGAGAAAGTCTGGATTTAGAAGAAAAACCTGATATTAAAACCCTCGGAGTCCAGCCGGAGCAGGACGAGAATGTAAACCAAACCTCTGGTAAGAATAATCAGATTTCATTGCTGTTAATCGCTGCATCGCGTTATGGCAAACGATTACCCTCATCGGCGAAGTCAAATTTTCTTGCTCCTCTATTGTCGACATTACGGTGCTGCTGATGCAGAAACACAATGAAAGCAGTCATTTTTTTTTTTATATTATTTACAAAAATAACTTTACTTTAGACCAGTACAGGTTTGGACACATATAATACATTATAATTAATAATTTTACACATCATAATAAAATATCAAACATTTTAATGCTGTCTGAAGAAAAGGTCACACAAAATTAAGATAAGATAAGATAAGATGAGATAAGACTTTATTGATCCCACGGCGGGGAAATCTTTGTGTTACCTCATCTCAGGTACAGATAGCAGAAGGAAAATACCAAAAATACAAATAAAATATGAACAAATATAAAATAAGTAAGATAATACACTATATACAACGATAGCATACACAGTATGTGATTATGGATATGGTTGTGGAAATATGCAAGAGAAGTGGATTTGAAGTTGTCCACACATTTATCCACAGTTACTGCCATATAATACTGCTATATATTAAAAACAAAATTATTTTGTAAAAACAAAATAAAGGCACAGCCAGCAAATAATCAGTCTATTGTGTTTAAATTACCACATTGTTATATTATTTTTGAACTGTAATTTCAGAAAATCCTTAATATGTTTCTGTAATTTTTAATTTAATTAAATTTTTAAAAATTGATTAATGTTCAAGTTTAGCACGTGTCAGTCCATGGTAACTGTAAAATGTGATATTTCATGATATAATTTTCCACAATCATTACTTCAGTTCTTTGAGAGGTGACACAAAGATTCTACTGGATTCCTTCTCAGGTACACCCCAGTCTACATATGGTAAATGGCGTCTCTGCAAACTGTACAGTGTTAGAAAACAAAATAAAATGCACTCAAATTACATTGTCATAGTGTATGCTATGGAAAAAGCATTTGCCCCTTATTTTATTTTATTTTTTTGTATATTTGTCACATTTACACGTACAAAAACAAGGGAAAAAATATCCAAACCTACCTGGCCCTGTGTGAAAAGTGTAAAAAATCATGAATTAACTGATTAATCACATTTTTTTGAAAGCTGAGTTCAATTTCAGTGGCCACACTGAGGCCTGATTATTGCCTGTTAAATCAAGTTCCCTTACATCTAGCATAAAACTCAAGCTCAAGAGCACTTGAGCAGTGATCCAAAACACATCAGTATTGTACGTCCATCTCCGAATGGCTCAAAGAAGCAAAACAAAACGGAGCCTCTGCAGTGGTCTGGTCAAAGTCCAGGCTCAAATCTGACTAAGATGCTTTTGCCAAAGGTTGCACAATAAGGTTAGGGGACAATTGTTTTTTCATATATAACAAATCAGGAATTCACACACTTGGTATAGAAAGTACAACAACGATATCGCTCTTTGATAGCCTAGCTTGAATTTCTATCATAGCGAGAAGCTCACTAACCCATTTACATGAAACATAACAGGAAGAACTACACAATCACAATAAGTTAGGGCTGCAAGAATCCAGCCTTTCCGAGACCACACAAATACCTTTTCTTTGGAAATTTGGTGATATTGAGTGCCAGTCTGATACCTATCCATGCATCTGCTGTATTCTTGGGAACGTCAAGACATTCCAAAGCGAGCCGAGAGATGTAATCTCTCCAGCGTGTCCTGGGCCTACTCCAGCGTCTCCACCTGAGAGAACATGTCGGGCACGCCTCACTTGACTTTGATGAATCATATTTAATGTTTTTCATTCTGAGCATTCTGGACTGATCATTAAAGAGATGCTGTGCTACTTCTGTATTTCCTTCAACAACTGTGACATCAGGCCTATAAACACGTTTTTCTGTAGGACCACCGTAAATGCATTACAAGGCTCTTTTCTCCATATTTTAAAATATGTTAATATTTCTTATTTTGTCTTTTTTCTTTTTAGATAATGGGACAGCTCTGTGCTGATGTAGAATTCATATAAACATCACACAATTTACCTACATGTTTCATTGTTTCCTGCAGATATCCCACAGCTGTTGGTTATTAAAAAAGAAGAAGTTTCACCTGAATGGATCCAAACTCTGGAGCAGCAATACCCAAACCTCCACATAAAAGAAGAGCAGGAGGAAACCTGGAGCACTCAGGAGGAAAAGCCACCTAATGGGCTCCTCATCACTGGCGTTCCTGTGAAGAGTGAAGATGGTGATGATGATGATTTGAAACCTCAGTTGTCAGAGCTGCATCAAAGGCAAAGTTTTAAAAAAGAGGTTAAAGTTGAAGTTAAAAAAGAGGAAGAGGATGAGCCTCCAATCAGCAGCTCAGCTAATCACATAAAAACAGAAACAGGTGGAGCACCAGTAACGACCACAAACTCAGATCCACGCAGAGATTCAGAGCCTAATACTGATAAACAAGCTTCAGCTGCTTTTGAGGCAGAAGTCAGTGTTGATGGTAACAACAGTGATGATGATACTACTGATGATGATGATGAATGGCAGGAACCTTTGTCCAATTGTCGACCTAAAACTAAAGACAGAGACGGTAATCAGAAGGAGTCGGATTCAAATCCTGCTAAAACATCCTTCAGCTGCTCCGAGTGCGGTAAAGACTTTCTCTCCAAGCAGTCTCTTCAGAGTCACGTGACAAGTCATTCAGGAAGAACACCTTCCAGCCATCTGCTTAATAAGAAATGCTCCAGGGTGAAGCAGAAAGCAGATTCAAAGATGAGCGTAGGCAAAGCAGAGAAACGATACGTCTGCAATGACTGTGGACACAGATTCAGACATCGCTTTAATCTTAAAAGACACATGAGAGTTCACACAGGAGAGAAGCCTTTTAGTTGTGACATTTGTGGTAGAAGATTTAAACAACAGTGCAGTCTCAAAAGACACACCAGACGCCACAAAGGGGAGAAATCATTTAATTGCAATGTTTGTGATAAAAGATTTAATGTAAAGGATGATCTTAGGCAGCACATGAAATGCCACACAGGAGAGAAACCGTTTGGCTGTCAGCTTTGTGGAAAAACCTACAGAGCTCAATGTGGGCTTAAGAGGCATATGATAGTCCACTCAGGAGAGAGACCGTTCCACTGTGATATTTGTGGTAAAACATTTAATGAAAAGAAGTCGCTTAGTAAACATGGAATAATTCACACAGGAGAGAAACCATTCGGTTGTGATGTTTGTGGTAAAAAATTTAGACATCAGTGTAACGTCAAAACACATATGAGAATCCACACTGGAGAGAAACCATTTGGTTGCAATAAGTGTGAACGGAAATTTAACCAAAGCGTACTTCTTAAGAAACACATGAAAGTTCACACCGAGGAGAGTTCTTTATGAGGGGCTGGTTAGCTGGCTCGAGAAAACCAAAACTCCTGTTTGGAGGTGGCAGGGTGTAGATATGTAAAAGTAACTGATATCATAACATTGAGCTTCTTCGTTAGCCCAGGCTTAGGTGAAAAGGTGGTGTTTGACATGTTATCTCATCCTTCTTTCATATAAAATCAACCAATTGAGCACTACCTGCCTGCTTAAATCAGAGACTTCAGGTATAAAATCAATATTCTTGTGAACAGTTAAGTTAATACACTGCTTAAGTCTTAAGTCACATATATACAATTGGAGCTGGGTATCGATGATTTCTACAATCCTCGATTCGATTCACTTCAATTTTGAGTCAGAGTGTCAGAAATATTATAATTCTGATCATTTATCAGTACTGACGCTTGTGAGACTTCATCAGAGGTGTAAGCCTCAGAGCAGATGCCTTTGTGTCAAAGTAACTGACAATGAAACACAGAAAAACACAAAGGAGATTTTCCTGGCCTAGCTTTTTATAGCAGATAACCTTAAAAATATTCTGCAGTGGATCAAAAACTGAAGAAAACCATGAATCAACAACTACTACATTACCTGATGCTGCTGAACTGAAGCAGAGCAAAGTTACAGAGGTTTAATTAGAGACACAGCGTTTTGCAATTTAGCAAAAGTTTAAATGTCTTCAGTACTGAACAGCAGAAATTAGACTGTCATGTTGGAGGTCCTTAAAAAAAACCCCTTACCGCCTGGCAGCATTGTACACAACAGTAGACTGGTGCTTAATAAGCAAGCAAATAATGCAGAAAACAAAGATTTTAGATGGGAAGCTGTTCTTGAAGTACACTGAGAGAGAAAGAGCTGTGCAGGAAGTGTGATTTGTATCATGGTAGAAGCAAAACAGCAAAAGTAAGAGGGAATTCATGACTATGTTTATCAAACGTGAAGCGTAGTTTTGATCTTCTTTTGCTTTTGAATTTTGGTTGGCGAGTGACACTTGAATTTCAGCCTCGATGGTGTGTTTGTGTACATGCCATCGAGTGAACGATGCATCTTTGTGCAGAATCCGTTTACCTGCTCACATTTACTTTTTTAGCTGTTTGGCGGTTGTTGAAATAGTTTTGTGAGCGTTAACCTGAGATTCTGGCTAAAATTGATTTGAATCGGAAAATTGACTCCTCCTCCTAGCCCCCCTGCTCCAACAGGCTGCAGAGAACGGGGGTGTGAGAAGACTCCAAACCTTCCTCCGCCTACTCATATGTAGTGTTGATGCATGTGTGTTCTAAGGTGCATTTAAAACCCAGGAGGGCATGGAGCTACCTGCCAGAGAGCAGCAGGTAAGCGCACAGCCCCTCCTGATAGCCCTCAATGTCTACGTGTATTTAACCTTGAGAGGTGGGCAACGACGCCAGGGGTGGGGTGTACACCCTGATGGTCTTTTGGATTCCGTGTAGCGGCACACTCCCAAGATCCTATATGTATGTGTTATGAGAGTGTGAGTAATGTGAATGTCTAAGTTGTGGGATAAAATTGAGGCAGAGGCAGCCAGAAGGGGACAGAGGGGGGGGGATGCCTCCCCTGCACCCTGGTGACACACCCCTACTCCAAGGCCCTGCATGTGTGGGTGGTTGTGGTGGAGCGGGAAGAGGGAGGCAGCTGGAGATTGGGAGAGAAGGAAGGGAGGGGCAAGTGACCCCAATAGACGCCCAGGCTGAAATCTTCCTCCACCTCTCCTGTATCTCCCCCTCCTGCAGAGTGAGTTCCTGAAGAGAGGCGAGCTCCTGCAAGATGTAACAGCCTACATATCTTGATATCAAGACTAATGTAATCTAATAGATAATTTCTATATTGGTTAGAATTAAGATTATTTTTATTTTTCCAGTTCATGAGGACTGTTTTCTTGGCTATGCATAGGGCAATGAAAACCATATGGGCGATATTCTTTTCTGAAGTGACATTATCTAAGCGGCCCAACAAACACACTAAGGGGGAAGTTGGAATGTTACATTTCAGACACTTCGATAAGTCTTCACATATCTCGCGCCAAAACTTCTGAACTGGTGGACAGAACCAAAGAGCGTGGATATAATTGTCTGGTGAATTGGTTTGGCAGTGTGAGCAGTTGTTGGTAGACGTAAAGCCCATCTTGAACATCCGATGACCTGTATAGTGCACTCTATGTAATATTTTGTATTGAATTAATTGAAGACTGGGATTTCTAATTAGATGAAAGGTTTTTAAGCAAATCTGAGACCAGAAGTTTAGGTCTAAGTTAACTGATAAATCCGCTTCCCATTTTGCAATAGGAAGTGATATTGATTCATCTGTTTTAGAAAGCATTCTGTATATTTTGGATAGTAATTTGGGGGGTTTTAAGAGTAAGAAATTGAACCACACTTGGTGGTGTTTGTAGTTCAACTTGACCCGGTTTAAATTTCTTTTTTACTATGGATTTAATTTGTTGATATTCTAAAAATCTTTTCTTGTTGATCCCATATTGTGTAACTAGTCCGTCAAATGAAATAAATTCTGTTCCTTCTAGTATATGTTCTAAATATTTGATTCCTTTATCACTCCAATCTGGAAAGTTTATCATATTATTGTTTTGTAATATGTCAGGGTTCTTCCAGATAGGTGTACGTTTGCATGGGATTAATGAAGACGCTGTCAACTTCAGAAACTCCCACCATGCTGTCAGAGAAGAGCTGATGTTGATGCTTTTGAAGCATTCATGTCGTTGGATGTTTGAGCTGATAAATGGTAGATCTGAAATCTCTAGATTATTGCAGAGTGCTTGTTCTACATCTAGCCAAGGTTCATCTAAGAGGGTATGTTTTAGCCATCCTGAGATAAACTGAAGCCTGTTGGCTAAAAAGTAGTGCTGAAAGTTAGGTAGTTCTAGTCCTCCTTTATCCTTGGTCTTTTGTAGTGTTTTTAAGCTTATACGTGGGGGTTTATTTTTCCAAAGGAATTTGCACATATACGAATTTAGAGATCTGAACCAATCTTGTGGCGGTTTAGTTGGGATCATTGAGAATAAATAATTTATTTTTGGTAAGACCATCATTTTTATAGCGGCAACCCTTCCCATGGGTAAACATTTCCATCTAGTCAGATCACCTTCTACCTTCTTTAAAAGTGGGATATGGTTTAATTTAGTTAGATCTGCAAGCTTGGGAGAAACATTAATACCTAAATATTTTATATTTAGAGCAATTAATCGGGAGGACTGTAGATTTTGACCAGTTAATTGAGTAATCTGATATTCTTAAAAAAAGAGTTTATCAATTCAATCACCCCAGAGATATTGGTTTGTGAATTTTGGAGAAAGAGTAACACATCATCCGCATAAAGGCTGATTTTATGTTCCGCGTTCTTGCATTTTATGCCCTTAATTACTGAATTCTGTCTAATTGCTGCTGCTAGTGGTTCAATAAAAATTGCAAACAGTGAAGGGGAGAGTGGGCATCCCTGCCTGGTGCCCCTCAGGAGAGAGAAGCTGGAGGATGTCTGGTCATTTGTTCTGACACAAGCTGTTGGGGAGTTATAAAATATTTTTAACCAGTTTATGAAAGAGGATCCAAAACCAAATTTGTGTAAAGTTGTTAACAGAAATTTCCAGTTAACTCTGTCAAATGCTTTTTCTGCGTCTAAAGAAAATATTGTAGTTTCAAGGTTTTTACTGTATGAGTAGTCTATCAAATTAAGTAATCTACGTGTATTTGTTGATGAGTGCCTACCTTTTATGAAACCAGTTTGGTCAGGATGAATTAAGAGGGGGGTTATTTTCTCCAGTCTCTTTGAGAGAGCTTTGCAGATTATTTTAAGGTCTACATTTATAAGGGATATTGGACGATAGCTTGAGGGATATACAGGGTCTTTGCCTGGTTTTAGCAGGAGATTAATATTTGCAGAAATAAATAATAAAAAAATAATCCAGACGACAGTAGGAGTGATGAACATGTGAGAAAAAACTATATTCCTTACTGGTGGGGTGAAGGGAGCGCCATGCATCGCAAAGACCAAAGTCGCTCATATACTGTTTGATTATATTTGTGGACTGCCAATTACGCTGAGTTCCTGCTGTATTGAGCCTATCCATGTCTTCATTTAGTCCCAGGTTGAGGTCGCCTCCAAGAACAAGTGTGCCATCTAAGTGTTCAGAGAGTGCACTGAAAAAACCGTGAAAGAATGAGGGATCATCAACATTTGGACCATATACACTTGCAATACATAGCGTTTTATCAAGTATAGATAGTTTAATGATTAAGAATCTGCCCTCTGGAAATATAACTGTATCGAGTACTGTGAAATTAATATTTTTATGTTTTAAAATTGCTACTCCCCTTTGTCTAGAATTATAACAAGCTGAGAACACATTACGAAACTCAGATGTTTTAAGTTCATTCGAACCTCGACTTCAGGCGTGATGCCAGAAAACCGAGGAAAAGTAATAAATGGTGTAGATTACTTAAAGGCTTTGCTTGCTTTGAACAGTAGATGTTAATTGTCTCGGTTTTTATAATCGTCTTTGGCTGTTGTTAGTTTTTCTGCTCATTTGTGTTTTTGTAGTTTTTCCTCTGTTCTCATGTGTTTGTGTTTATTTGTATTTATGTGAGATTATTCCTGGGCCCTATTTCAGGAAGCCAGTTTAGTGGAAAAACTGAGTAAGTATACCCTGAGTTAACGAAAACTCTGGGTTTTCGGTTTCACAAAGCGAGTTCAGCTGAAGCCTGAGTGAGTCACTATGACGACACACGCCGTGAAGCTAACCTGCCCCCTAGCAGGTTTACTACAACTAACCCTGACTGTCTCCGCCCCTTTGTCGGAAACCTGACAGTAGGAAGTGTCAGACATGGCGTGTCCCTTCCTTGAAGAGCCAGTAGATCGTGAAGCCCAAATTCTCCGCAGAGCTCTCCGCCGAGAGAGAGTGATCAGAGCGCGTTTGGACATTTTATCATTACCTGATGATTTTCTGTGCGAACGTTACCGTTTCTCAGCACAATCTATAATTTATTTGAATAACATCCTCAGGCCATATATTACGCATGTGACACATCGCGGACATGCTCTCAGTTCTGTACATATTATTTGTATCGCACTTCGGTTTTTTGCAAACGGGAGCTTTCTGTATAATATTGGTGACGCTGAGCACGTTTCCAAGGCTACCGTCTGTCGGGCAGTCAGGAATGTTACAGTTGCACTGAAACGTCTCCTGTACACGTCTGTGGTGTTCCCCGGTCACAGACCCACAAGATTTATCAAAGAGGGATGCCACAAAATTGCAGGTATCAGGATGACCAAAACTTAATTTATGATGTG